CCCATTTGCAAGGGACACTAGGAAATCCAGATGCTTAGTTAAAAATTGGAGGTTTTATAAGTAAGAGGGACAAGGGGAGAATGGGTTATTTGGTACCGATAAGCAGTTTCTGCCACAGGGAGATAGTGGTAAATTATATAAAACCCTTGCCATTGTAGCGTTTATAATCTAGTAGGAGAAACAGACTATAAACAATGTAAAACAAACATACACAAACACATATATATAGTAACAGTGAATACATGTGTTTATCTTTGATGGAGAGAGAGTGTGACATTCATTTCAAGTTACAGTAGTTGCTTGGAGAAAGAATAAAATATGCCAGGACGCAGTGACTCATGCCTGTACCAATCCTAGCAGTTTGGTGGGAGGCTGAAGGGAGTAGATCACTTGAGCCCAGGAGTTCAAGAGCAGCCTGGGCAATATGGTGGAACCCTGTCTCTACAAAAAAATAGAAAAAAATCGGCTGGACATGATGGGTGCAGACCTGTGGTCCCAGCTATTCAGGAGGCTGAGGTGGGAGGATCGCTTGAGCCCAGGAGGCTGAGGCTGCAGTGAGCTGTGGTGGTGCCATTGCCCTCCACCCTCAGCAACATAGTGAGACCCTGTCTCAAAAGAAAAAGGAGAATAAAATACAATAAGGGAAGGAGAGGGGGGGCTGTTTTTTGTTTGTTCAGGGCCATTTTATGTGTGTGGTCTGAATTGAGTTAAGCATCTGGAAATTTGTAGTGTCCTTTGCAAGTAGATGTGTCCATGTTGCCAAATTCTGTTTCTTCTTACAGCTAAATTGAAAGCCAGGTTGATTTCATAGGTTCCACATGTGTTAGTAATTGTGAGGAGAAAGGACTGTATTAGGAAGATTAGAGAAGATTTCTGAAAGGATGAGATAGGAATAGAAGCCTTAGTGAAGCGAGGGAATACGAACGGTAGGGAGGTCTGAGGGAAGAGTAGATAATGCAGTGTGGACATACTGATGTTGGAAAGAGCTGGCACAGTCAAGAAAACCAGCTGAGTGAGCCAAACACTGAGGCCAAATGGTCTGACCTGGGCAAGGGAACGTTTCCTTTGTTTTCTTTCCCCACCATCCTGTAAGCTGTGTGAACACAGGGACTTTGTTTTCTTGACTGTTATGTGTCCACAGGGCCTAAAACAGTTCAATTAGCCTTGATGAAATCGTGATTATGCCAGAAAGAATATTGTGCAGAAAGAATCAGAATAATTTCTGTAATCCTCCCTCCCTCCCTCCCTTCCTCACGATCTAAGCTCACTGCAGCCCCAACTTCTGGGCTCAAGTGATCTGCCCACCTCAGCCCCCCAAGTAGTTGGGATTATGGACACGTGCACCATGCCTGGCTAAATTTTGTATTTTTTATAGAGATGAGGTTTTGCCATGTTGCCCAGGTTGGTCTTGAACTCCTGAGCTCCAATGGTCAACCGGCCTTGGCCTCCCAGAGTTCTGGGATTACCGGTGTGAGCCACGGAACCCGGCCAATATTTCTAATTTCATGAGAGAAAAAAAAACCCCACATTTTAAATTTGTATCCCATTACATGTGCACCTAGCCCTAAGAGTATTTTGTTAATTTCAAAAGTATTTAGTATAAATGCAAGTTAAAATACGTAGCCGAAAATGTGAAGAAGAGCCTACTTAGTAACTAATTTTTTTTTTCTTTTTCTTTTTCTTTTTTGACAGAGTCTTGCTCTGTCACCCAGGCAGGAGTGCAGTGGTGTGATCTCGACTCACTGCAACCTCCGCCTCCTGGGTTCAAGTGATTCTCCTGCCTCACCCTCCCGAGTAGCTGCGACAACAGGCACACACCACCACTCCCAGCTAATTTTTGTGATTTTAGTAGAGACAGGGTTTCACCATATTGGTCAAGCTGGTGTCAAACTCCTGACCTTAGGTGATCCACCCACCTCGGCCTCCCAAAGTGCTGGGATTACAGGAGTGAGCCACCGCACCTGGCAATATATAACATTTTTCTGATTAAACTTATATATTGTTTACATTTAATTTTATTCAAATTAGACAAATCATTGAAATTTATAAAATGAATAAGGAAAAATGAAATTGTAATTTCCATTTCCATAAAAAAGTACTGTGTATATTTTAATATATTTTCTTCTTGACTTTATGTATATATATTTACTGAAACATACTAAATTTGTTCAAATCGTACATTTTCGTTTCTTTTTTTGAGGCAGTCTTGCCCTGTTGCCCAGGCTGGAATGCAGTGGCATGATCCCAGCTCACTGCAACCTCTGATTCAAGCAATTCTTGTGCCTCAGCTACCCAAGTAGATGGGATTACAGGCATGCACCTCCACCCTCGTCTAATTTTAGTGTTGTTAGTAGAGATGAGGTTTCGCCATGTTGGCCAGGCTGGTCTGGAACTCTTGGGCTCAAATGATCAGCCCACCTCAGCCTCCCAAAGTGTTGGGATTGCAGGCGTGAGCCACTGCACCCGGCCTATTCAAGACTCTTTTATTCCCTCCCAATATTGTTGTTTTGTTTGAAAATTGTGTCTTTGGACCCTTCCTTTTAGCAGTAACAACTTTTTAACAGTATCTTCAGTGTGGTTAGTATCATTTCCAAGTTTCTTTTGCTAGTATTAGGTTTCTCCCCCATTGGAAGCTTCATGAAGGCAGGAATTTTTATGTTTTAGAACTGCTATAAGTTCAGTATCTCTGACTGTACCTGAAACATGATGAGTACTCAGTATTTGTTGAATGAATAAATCTGAGCTAATGAAAGCATGAATGTGAGTAAACAAATTTTTAAAAGCACACACACAAAAAAAGACTTCCATTTTAAACTCTGGACTTTTATTCATTTTCAGTTTTGTACATTTTTTTCTTGTCAGTGTTTTTGGGGCAGACTTCTGTAAATTTACCCTGTTATAGGAATATATGCTCTCTAGTCTGTCTCTAGAATGTATGGTCATTTTTCCGTTTATTTTCAAATACTGTTTCTGTAGTTAAAGCAGCTTAATTATTCATTTATCATTCACTTTTTAAATCTTTGTCCTATAAGGAAGTAAATGGAAATATTACTTCCTATAAGCAAGAAATTATTATATTTGTATATTTTAAAATAAGCCTTTGACCAGTTAAATGCAGCTTCCTGGCTCAATATGAGTGATATTTCTTCTTAGACCTTGGGTTTTCGCCCATGGAATCAGTAAGCAAATATTAGAAGATCATATATTCTGGGGCTGAGTGGGGTGACTGACACCTGTAATCCCAGGACTTTTGGAGGCCAGGGCAGGAGGATCATTTGAGGTTAGGTGTTCCAAACCAGCCTGGCCAACATAGTGAAACCCCCATCTCTACAAAAAAATGTAAACAACAAAAAAAGAAAATAATTTATTCTGGGAGATTCATACAAAAAAAGCTATTTGTGAGATGATGTTAACTTTCTTAAAACAGAAGATATTCTCCGTCTTACATTTTTCAATACCCACAAAATGATGTCCAGTGTGTTCTTGGATTGTTATTACACCAAATTCATTGATTCGTACGATTTTCCCATGTCACACTGATTTGGAGAAGAATATTGTTCTAGGATAAAGTTATTCCAAAACTATGGTTTTGTGTCACTGTTCTTTCCTAGGCAGAGATTTGAGGCAGCATTTATTTGCTCATTTGCTTTTCTGCCATTGTTTTCCACTCAGCAGCATTTCATGGGTCTTTATGCTGACAAGGGACTGACAGGCAAAAGGCACACACTAATGATTGGTATATTGATATTTGTGGTATGAATCGTAGAGTTGTTTGGGGATCATTCTCAAACATTCTTTGACCTTGTAATCCCAATTTTTGAAATCTGCTCCTAGGAAGACAACTCTTAAGAGAAAAAACTCTCAGCAGTTTTTACTAAAATGTTTAGGGTGATTCTCCCATATAGCAAATATGCCTAATAATAAAGATTAATAGGATGTTTAAAAATGTTCCAGAAATTATGTTGAAGAAAACAAAATAAAATATGCATACCAATTGCTTTCATTAAAAAGAAGTATATTTGGCTGGGCACAGTGGCTCACGCCTGTAATCCCAGCACTTTGGGAGGCTGAGATGGGTGCCTCACCTGAGGTCAGGAGTTCGGGATCAGCCTGGCCAACATGGTGAAACCCCGTCTCTCTACTAAAAATATATAAAAAATTAGGCATGGTAGCACAGACGTGTAATCCCAGCTACTCGGTAGGCTAAAGCAGGAAAATCACTTGAACCTAGTAGGTGGAGGTTGCAGTGAGCCGAGACCATGCCATTGTGCTCCAACCTGGGCAACAAGAGCGAAACACGTCTCAAAAAAAAAAAAAAAAATTTTGTTGATGGAGGTTGCAAGAGAATAAAATTATGTGACTTGATCTTAAGTTTGTTGAATCCTTTTCGGGTAAAGATGTTTAAACATACATTAAAAATTCAGCCATTACCGGGCATGGTGGGTCACACCTGTAATTCCAGCACTTTGGGAGGCCAAAGTGGACGGGTCATTTGAGGTCAGAAGTTTGAGACCAGCCTGGCCAACATGTTGATATCCCGTCTCTACTAAAAATACAAAAATTAGCCAGGCGTGTTGGGGCACGCCTTTAATCCCAACTACTTAGGAGGCTGAAGCAGGAGAATCACTTGAACTCAGGAGGTGGAGGTTGCAGTGAGCTAAGACTGCACCACTGCATTCCAGCCTGGGCAATAGAGTTAGACTTTGTCTCAAGAAAAAAAAGAAAGAAAGAAAGAAAGAAAAAGATCAGCCATTATAACAGATAACTGGATAAAAGAGAAATGAGTTAATTTAAATTTGAGAAGTGCTTGAAATAGACAGTATAGTTATACATGCATATGCAAAGTAAATATATAGAATATATAAATACTGAAAACTCTAGATGTTATATCTGGGCAAAAACTTAGTATTTTTAGTGAAAGACAGCCTCTGAACAACTATGGAAACATCTGTCACCAAGTAGAAATTATTTCTAACAAATGTGTAACTTTACTTTTGCAGGCCAAAGAGTGTGGCCAGATGCAAAATAAGTGGCTGATGATAAACATTCAAAATGTGCAAGACTTTGCCTGTCAGTGCCTCAACCGCGACGTGTGGAGCAACGAAGCTGTGAAGAATATTATCCGGGAACATTTCATTTTCTGGCAGGTGAGAAGGAGAGTTAATCAGAAATTTTGTAGAATTTTACTTTTGTAGTGTGGGATGTTGAGGGAAAGGAATTGGGTTATAATGAATTAAGACATTTTAAAAAAGGTAAAACCGGCTGGGGGCAATAGCTTACGCCTGTAATCCTAGCACTTTGGGAGGCTGAGGCCGGCGGATCACCTGAGGTCAGGAGTTCGAGACCAGCCTGGCCAACATGGTGAAACCCCGTCTCTACTAAAAATACAAAAAAATTAGCCGGGCATGGTGGTGGGCGCCTATAATCCCAGCTACTCGAGAGGCTGCGGCAGGAGAATCACTTGAACCCAGGTAGTGGAGATTTCAGTAAGCCAAGATCGTACCATTACACTCCAGCCTGGGCAACAGAGCAAGACTCCGTCTCAAAACAACACAAAACAAAACAAACAAACTGTACTGTTCAGTAGAAATATAACGTAAGCTATACACATAATTTAAATTTTTCCAGTAGCCACGTTAAAAAAGATTAATCGGCCGGGCGCAGTGGCTCAAGCCTGTAATCCCAGCACTTTGGGAGGCCGAGATGGGCGGATCACGAGGTCAGGAGATCGAGACCATCCTGGCTAACACGGTGAAACCCCGTCTCTACTAAAAAAAAATACAAAAAAACTAGCCGGGCAAGGTGGCGGGCGCCTGTAGTCCCAGCTACTCGGGAGGCTGAGGCAGGAGAATGGCGTAAACCTGGGAGGCGGAGGCTGCAGTGACCTGAGATCCGGCCACTGCACTCCAGCCTGGGCGACAGAGCGAGACTCCGTCTCAAAAAAAAAAAAAAAAGATTAATCAAAATAGGCAAAATTAATTTAAATAATATATTTGGTTAAATCAATATACCTGTATAACTAATACAAAAATAATGAGATGATTTGCTTTTATTTGGTGTTAAGTCTTCAAGATATGGTTTGTATTTATACTTACATCCCTTCTCTATTTGGAGTAGCCAAATTTCAGGCGCTTCAGTAGCCACTTCTGGGTAGTGGTTGCTGTATGAGACAGTGCAGGTATAGAAGATCTTGAGGTCATTGGAAGCATTTGGCTAAGACTTAGATTTTAGCTTGGGTTTGATACTTTTTAATTCTGTGTTCTTAGACATGTCACTTTAGTCTTCCTAGCTAATGAGATAAGGTTAGAGACCTTGTATCATTTTTCCCCTTGTGAGACAGGGTTTTGCTCTGTCACCCAGGCTGCAATGCAGTGGCATGAACATGGCTTAACCTTGACTTCCTGGGCTCAAATGATCTTCCCACCTCAGTTTCTTGAGTAGTTGGGACCACAAACATGCACCACCATGCCCATATAATGTTTTTTTTTTTTTTTTTTTTTTTTTTGGTGGAGATGGGGTCCTGCCATATTGCCCAGGCTCGTCTCGAACTCCTGGGCCCAAGCCATCTGCTTCCCTTGGCTTCCCAAAGTGCTGGGATTACAAGCATGAATCACCGTGCCAGCTCAATTTTTTTATTTTGTGGAAAGTTATAGAAAATAAAAACTTACAAATGAACTTAATTTTTTCCCCTACTGTAAGATATGCTATTAATGTTATTAATTTGCCTATGTATATTTTACAGGCCCCTAAATTTTATAATTTTAATGGTAAAATTTCTTGTATTTTATTCAACAAATATTGATCGAGCAGCTCATTGCTTAGCACAGTGCTGAACTCTAGAGCTTATAATCCTTTTTTCTTTCTTTCTTTCTTTCTTTTTCTTTCTCTCTCTCTTTCTTTCTCTTTCTCTCTCTCTCTCTCTCTTTCTTTTTCTCTCTTTCTTTCTTTCTTCTTTCTTTCTATAAATAGGGTCTTGCTCTGTCACCCAGGCTAGAATACAGTGGTGCAGTCATAGCTCACTGCAGCCTCTAACCCCTATAGGCTCAAGGGATCTTCCCATCTCAGTCTCCTGAGTTGCTGGGACTATAGGTGCACACCGTTAAACCTGGCTAATTTAAAAACAAAAACAAACTTCTTGTAGAGATGGGGTTTTGCTGTGTTGCCCAGGCTGGTCTCAAACTCCTGTCCTCAAGCTGTCCTCTGCCTCTGCGCCACAAAGTGCTAGGATTATAGGTGCGAGCCACCATGCAGAGCCATAATCTTTTTTTTTTTTTTTTTTTTTTTTTTTGAGACAGAGTCTTGCATTGTCGCTGGGCTAGAGTGTAGTGCCACGATCTTGGCTTGCTGCAGTCTCTGTCTCCCAGGTTCAAGCAATTCCCCTGCCTCGGTCTCCCGAGTAGTTGGGACTACGGGGCACGCATCACCATGCCCAGCTTACTTTTTGTATTTTAGTAGAGATGGGGTTTCACATGTTGGCCAGGATGGTCTCGATCTCCTGACCTGTGATCCACTCGCCTCGGCCTCCCGAAGTGCTGGGATTACAGGCATGAGGCACCGCGCCCAGCCCATAATCTTAATACATTGTGATTTATTAAGATGTATCTGGTTGAGAGTTATGAATGACATAGGTTGACAGATAACTTGAGCGGGAAGAAGGATACCTCATCTGAACTGGGAAAGGAAGAGGAATGGATTGATATGTTTATGGTAAATTTCCAGAGGGTGCTGAAAGTAGGAAGTTGAAGGAGTTCGAACCAGATGACCTTCATTATCTCTTTAGTGTAGGAGTGAGATCTTAATACATATGCCAGAGGTGTATTTGGAGAGCTAATTGATGTTGGTATATAACAAGGTTATAGTTGGTTCTTTTCTTAGAGGCTGACTTTTTTTTTTATATCAATGATTTAACAGGTTTATCATGACAGTGAGGAAGGTCAGAGATACATACAGTTTTATAAGTTAGGGGATTTCCCCTATGTTTCCATATTGGACCCACGGACAGGTAAGATTTATATCAGCATGCAACTTTTAACCTATCACTTGTCTTTCAGTTATCTCAATTGATCTTTAATATTTGACTGGATCTGTTTTCAGAATTATAGTAATTTAGGTGAAGGTTTCCTGTTTTTTTTCCCCCTTCATATTATTTAAACATCTATTGATGTATGTAGTTAAGACATCTTTTTCTGGCAACATTGGGAGATGGTAGTATTTTATGTTTGTGCAGTTATGTTCTTTTGAAGAATAACTGATATATTCATCTTACCTTTTTAAAGGAATTTTTTTAAGTTTTTTTAATCATTAAAATGTTAAGATTGCCCAGATACTAGTTGTGATCCCACCCAAGAAGCAGAGGGTGGAGCTGGTTTTATTAATTAATTGTGTTTTATATAATATTGCTTTCTCTGAATCTCTTCTTCCTAAATGGCAGTAAGTGATAGCAGCAGATAAGATAGTTGCTCTATCATGATGGGTGGGAATCTGTTAGGTGAGTATAATTGATGTGACTTCTAGGTTATGAAGACAGTATATAGCATAAGCTGGTGGAGGGTGTCTTTACAGTACACTTTAATTATGCATATGCTGAAAGAGATACTTAATGAGAATGTTCAGAAAGATTATAGATATTATATTTACATATCCTGGTTTTTAATCTTTAGGTCAGAAGCTAGTAGAATGGCACCAGTTAGATGTATCTTCTTTCTTGGACCAAGTGACGGGATTTCTGGGTGAACATGGACAACTGGATGGACTTTCTAGCAGTCCGCCCAAAAAATGTGCCCGTTCAGTAAGTATAATTAGGAGGTGGTGATGGGAAAATAAATGTAATTGGTCATAAGCATCTTACATAAAATGTTTGATGTTAAGATGGTAACGATAATCGAACTAGTGGACAACTGTCACTTGTGGCTATAGCATCTTAGATATCCTCCTCAATTTCCCACTTGAGAGTTCCATCTTCTCGGTGAAAACATGATACTCACACTCCTCCCAGTCTGTCTTGCAGCTAGAGTGCAGGCAGATGCCCCCAGATCTGGATTTAGAAGGAAGCAATGTGAATAGGTTGAGCAGGAGGACTGACCTGGCAAGCCTAGAGGTAGAGGGATCTACTTCCTTAGGGACAGCTCTGGGAGGGCTTCTGATAGCCAGGTCTAAATGGCAGTGAAAGTGGTGGGTTTTTGGTGTGTTTTGTGTTTTGTTCTGGAGATGGGATCTTGCTATTTTGCCCAGGCTGTCCTGGAACTCCTGGGCTGAAGCAGTCTTCTCACCTCAACTGCCCGAGTAGCTAGGACTACAGGTACATGCCACCATAGCTGGCCGGAAGTGGTGTTTTTCGTTTTCGTTGGAACAACTCTCGTGGTATAGTCGAGCGTTATTATTGGTTAATATAGTTTTAGGGCCTGGCTCTCTGTCCCTCCTAGAATTTATTTCTATACTTAATTTCTAGAATGTACTATTACTAGGTAGACATGTTTGATAATTGGTATCAAGATTAGTTACAAATAAGAGACTGAACTTGCAAAGATACAGCAATCTCACATAGGTTTTCATGGCTCTTTGGGTTTGATAGCTGTAGGGATAAAAATAGTTTTGTTTTATTGGTTTTTTTTTTTTTTTTTTTTTTTTGAGCCGGAGTCTTGTTCTGTCACTAGGGCTAGAGGGCAGTGGTGTGATCTTGGCTCACTGCAACCTCCGCCTTCCGGGTTCAAGCAATTCTCCTGTCTTGGCCTCCCAAGTAGCTGGGATTACAGACATGCACCACTGCATCCGGCTAATTTTTGTATTTTTAGTAGAGACGGGGTTTCGCCTTGTTGGGTAGGCTGGTCTCGAACTCCTGACTTCAAGTGATCTGCCTTCCTCGGCCTCCCGAAGTGCTGGGATTACAGGCGTGAGCCAGCTCGCCTGGCCTGTGTTTTTCTTTAGACAGGATCTTGTTCCGTTTCTCAAGCTGCAGTGCAGTGGTGTGATTATGGCTCACTACAGCCTCCACCTCTTGGGCTCAAGCGATCCTTCCACCTCAGCCTCCTGAGTAGCTGGGACCACAGATGTGCATCACCATGCCAGCTAAGTTTTTAAATTTTTGTAGAGACGGAGGTCTCCATATGTTGTCCAGGCTGGCCTCAAACTGGCCTCAAGCAATCCTCCTGCCTCAGCCTCCCAAAGTGTTGGGATTCTGGGCATGAGCACCACACCCAGCAAAATTTTTATTGTGTTGTGTTGTGTTGTACTGTATTGTATTGTATTTTTTGAGATGTGGTCTCACACTGTTGCCCAGGCTGGACTGCAGTGGCATGATATTAACTCACTGTAGTCCTTGCAACCTTGAGAGAACATGGGAAAAAAAAAACAACTTGCTAGCCTTGAACTCCTGGGCTCAGTCGATCTTCTTGCCTCCGCCTCCTGAGTAGCTAGGACTATGGATGTGCACCATCTTGCCTGGCTAATTTTTTATTTTTGTGGAGGCAGGATCTTGCTATGTTGCTCAGCCTGATCTGAAACTCCTAAGCTCAAGCCATTCTCCTGCCTTGGCCTCCCAAAGTGCTGGGATTATAAGCATGAACCACCATACCATGCCCAGTCTAAAAATAGTTTTAGAAGATGTGAGGAACACTTCCTTCAGTTATCACCTATAATAAAGTGCCTATTTAAGGAAAAGCCCTTAGGGATAGTATAGAAATTTTGTTGACCTCAGGCAGTCCTGCTTGATTTACAGTTTTTTGGGCGCTTTGTTGTTGTTGTTTCCTCTCTCCCATGGAATGCTTCATAATGTCGTGTTCTGCTTTTGGTAGCATGTTAATGCTGACCTCACAATAAATTGAGAAGTGTTTCTTCCTCTTCTGTTATCTGCAGTAGTGTCTGTAGAATTTTTGTTATTTTTTCCTTAATGTTTGATGATATTTACCAGTGAAGCGACATGGGCCTAGAGGTTTTTTTTGTGGAAAGTTTTAAACTACAAATTCAGTCTTATTGGTGGATACCTGACTACTTGGTTATCTGTTTCTTCTTGGATAAGCTTTAGCAAGCTGTATCTTTCTAGGGATTTGTTCATTTTACTACATTGATGAGTTTATTATAGTCCCTGTGATGCCATTGATGACTATAGAGATTATAGTTGTCCCCTCTCTTCATTCTGTTTTTGGTAATTTGTGGCTTCCCTTTTTTCCCCGACAGTCTGGCTAGAGGCTTAGTAGTTTTATCTCAAGGAACCAGCGGGGGTGTGGCATGTGCCTGTAGTCCCATCTGCTTGGCAGGAATATTGCTTGAGCCCAGGAGTTCAGGAATGTGCTGTGCTATGATCATGCCTGTGAGTAGTCACTGCACTCCAGTCTTTGGGCAGCAGTAAGACTCTGTCTCTTAAAAAAACAACAACAAGGCCGGGCGCGGTGGCTCAAGCCTGTAATCCCAGCACTTTGGGAGGCCGAGACGGGCGGATCACGAGGTCAGGAGATCGAGACCATCCTGGCTAACACAGTGAAACCCCGTCTCTACTAAAAAATACAAAAAACTAGCTGGGCGAGGTGGCGGGCACCTGTAGTCCCAGCTACTCGGGAGGCTGAAGCAGGAGAATGGCGTAAATCCGGGAGACGGAGCTTGCAGTGAGCTGAGATCTGGCCACTGCACTTCAGCCTGGGCCACAGAGCGAGACTCCGCCTCAAAAAAAAAACAACAACAACAACAACAACAACTGCCTTTGGGATTTTGGTGGTGTTTTTGTTTTTTGTTTTTCTCTATTGTATTTGCTTTCTAGGTCATTTATTAATTTCTGTTTTCTTTGGGCTTAATTTTATTTTATTTTCCTGGATGTATGCTCTTTTTTTTTTTTTTAAGGTGGGGAAGCTTAGGTCATTAATTTGATACCTTTCTCTGTTCTAATAAAAGCATTTAATTCTATAATTTTTCAATAAGTACTGCTATTGCTCAATACTATTTTCTAGCTACAAGAGAAATTAGTAAAATGAATTTTTTAGTTGAATATGTTTTATAAACTTGATTAGGGTTCTGTAAGTAAGGAAATCAGAGGAGAATGAAATTCAATAGGAGCTTGATAGTATCTGCCATGGCCACAATTTTTAAAGTCAAGCTACACGCTATCTGTGCAATGTCATTGCTATAAATTTACGATCCACCTAAGCCATTGCATGTCACACAGACACCTCTGCTTGCTTTTTAGGGGCGGTAAATTAGTTTATTTTTACTTGGCCGGGTGTAGTGGTATGTGCCTGTAGTCCCAGCTACTTGGGAGGCTGAGGTGGGAGGATTGCTTGAGCTTGGCAGGTGGAGGGAGTAGTCAGCCAAGATTGCACCACTGCATTTCAGACAGAGTAACCTGTCTCAAAAAAAAACAAAAAACAAAACGTTTTTCCCTTTAATTTTTTGCTACATGATTGCCTGATAGTAAAAGACAAAATGTGGTTTCTTTAGTTTTTTATTAGCAACCCACATTTTTTTTTTTAACCTATTTATTGTGGAAAATTTTAAGCATATTCAAAGTTGAAGTAGTTTATTGAGCCTCTTTGTATTCATTAGCTTATTTCAGTAATTATCAACAGATGGCCAGTCTTCTTTCCTCTAGATCCCATATCTGAATTATTTTGAAGCAAATCTCAGAATTCATTGTTTCATTAATACATACTCTGGGATTTATATTTAAAAGATAAAGGCTTTTTTATTTTTAAAAATACTATCACAATGTCATTATTATACCCTTAAAAATTAGCAGTAATTCTATAATATCGTGAGATATCCAGTGTTCAACTTTAGATTATCTTACAATTTTTTTCCTCTATAGTATGTTTGAGTCAGGAGTAAGTTCCACTCAAACAACATTATTTTGTGATTCATTAAGTTTAGTAGAATCTATGGCATTAGAACTTTACCAAGGGAAAAACTGTAGAAGTTTGCATTTCTCGTTATCATAATGAAAACCTTCATTATAATTAATGGAATTACTAGTTGAAGAATAAAGTGGTGAACAAAGTAAACACTGGTCTCTATGTTTTAGTCATTTTAAAGAGTGGTATTTTGACTTTATAGTTAAAACTTTTAATTCTTGTCTTTCTCTAGGCAGGTAATAGATAAACGTTTCTTGATTTTGTTCATTTTGATTTTTGTTTTGTTTTGTTTTTGAGATGGAGTCTTGCTCTGTCACCAGGCTGGAGTGCAGTGGCGCGATATCACGGCAACCACCTCCTCCTGGGTTCAATTGATTCTTCTGCCTCAGCCTCCCGAGTAGCTGGGACTACAGGCGCACACCACCATGGCCAGCTAATTTTTGAATTTTTAGTAGAGATGGGGTTTCGCCATGTTGGCCAGGCTGGTCTCCAACTCCTGACCTCAGGTGATCCGCCCACCTCAAGCCTCCCAAAGTGCAGGTGTGAGCCACTGCGCCCGGCCTGTCCTGCTTTGTTATCATTTGTGTGTTCACTGGAGTAGCACTTTTAATTTCCTTCAAGAACCTTTCCTTGCATTCACAGCTTGGCTGTTTGGTGCAAGAGGCCTAGCTTTGTGTCTGTCTCAGGTTTCAACATGCCTTTCTCACTAAGCTTAATCGTTTTTAGTAGAGACAGGGTTTCACCATGTTGGCCAGGATGGTCTCGATCTTTTGACCTCTTGATCCACCCGCCTTGGCCTCCCAAAGTGCTGGGATTACAGGCATGAGCCACCACGCCTGGCTTTCATTTTGATATTTTAAAAAATGCCTATGATCACTTGAGCCCAGAAGCGCAAGACCAGCCTGGGGAACATAGTGAGACCCTGTCTCTTAAAAAATATATAGATATATATAGGCTGGGTGCGGTGGCTCATGCCTGTCATCCCAGCACTTTGGGAGGCCGAGGTCGGGAGTTTGAGACCAGCCTGGCCAACGTGGTGAAACCCTATCTCTACTAAAAATACAAAAAAATAAGTAAATAAAAATTAGCTGGGCATGGTGGCGGGTGCTTGTAATCCCAGCTACTCAGGAGGCTGAGGCAGGAGAATTGCTTGAACCTGGGAAGGCTGAGGTTGCAGTGAGCCAAGATTGTGCCACTGCACTCCAGCCTGGGCAACAAGAGTGAGACTCCATCTCAAAAACAAAATAAAACAAAAAACAGGCTGGGCGCGGTGGCTCACGCCTGTAATCCCAGCACTTTGGGAGGCCGAGGCGGGTGGATCACAAGGTCGGGAGATTGAGACCATCCTGGCTAACACGGTGAAACCCCGTCTCTACTAAAAATACAAAAAAAAAAATGAGCCGGGTGAGGTGGCAGGCGCCTGTAGTCCCAGCTACTCGGAGACTGAGGCAGGAGAATGGCGTGAACCCGGGAGGCGGAGCTTGCAGTGAGCCGAGATCGCGCCACTGCACTCCAGCCTGGGCGACAAAGCGAGACTGCGTCTCAAAAAAAAACCCCACAAAAAACAACAAAAACGTGTGTGTGTGTGTGTGTGTACACACGTATATATATCTATATTCCAATTTGGCTATGTAAGACACAGTCCTTGCTCTTAAAGTAGAAGGGATACAGTCAGCAGAACATAATAATGAATGGCAAGCTATGATATTTCTTATGCTGTTTGACCTGTTTTTTGGTTTAACTTGTTCTTCTTCCTGTGTTTTATGACGCCATCTCACAGGAGAGCCTTATAGATGCAAGTGAAGACAGCCAGCTAGAAGCTGCCATCAGAGCCTCCTTACAAGAAACACATTTCGATTCAACACAGACAAAACAGGATAGCCGCTCAGATGAAGAATCTGAATCTGAACTTTTTTCTGGCAGTGAGGAATTCATATCCGTTTGTGGCTCTGATGAAGAAGAAGAGGTAGAGAATCTTGCCAAGTCCAGAAAGTCTCCCCATAAAGATTTGGGGCATAGAAAAGAGGAGAATAGAAGGCCGCTGACTGAGCCCCCAGTCAGAACTGATCCTGGAACTGGAACAGCCACAAACCACCAAGGATTGCCAGCCGTGGATTCAGAGATACTTGAGATGCCACCTGAAAAATCAGATGGAGTAGTGGAGGGGATAGATGTAAATGGTGAGTTACATTATAGACATACTTTCCTTCAAACTTGGATATTGCACTCCAGCCTGGGCAACAAGAGTGAGACTCCATCTCAAAAGTTCAAGGTTAGGAGTTCAAGACCAGCCTGGCCAACATGGCAAAACCCTGTCTCTACTAAAAATACAAAACTTAGCCAGGTATGGTGGCATGTGCCTATAGTCCCAGCTACTTGGGAGGCTGAGGCAGGAGAGTGGCTTGAACCAGGGAGGCGGAGGTTGCAGTGAGCTGAGATCACGCCACTGCACTCCAGCAAAACACTTGAATAATCGCTGAATGGCTGTATTTATTTACATATTTATTTAAACTAATACTCTATCTTAAACTCCTGTATCCCGTTTTTTGTTTTTTTTTTAAACCCTTCCTTTAGGACCAAAAGCACAGCTGATGTTGCGGTATCCAGATGGAAAAAGGGAACAGATCACTCTTCCAGAGCAAGCTAAACTGCTAGTAAGTACAGGCTTGCTTTGGTTCAGTTCCGACCACTGCAATAAGACGAGTCACAAATTGTTTGGTTTCCTGGTGCATATAAAAGTTACGTTTGCATTATTCTGTAGTCTATTAAGTGTACAGTAGCTTTACATCTAAAAAAAGGCACGTGATTTAATTTAAAAAATCTTTTGCTAAAAAGTGCTAATGATCACCTGAATCTTCAGTGAGTCATCTTTTTGTTGGTGGAGGCTCTTGAAATTGATGGCTACTGACTGATCAGGGTGATGGGTGCTTGTGGCAGTTTCTGAAAATGTGACAGCAGTGAAGTTGCTGCATCAGTTGGTGATGTCTTCGACAAACAGTTTCTCTGTGGCATGTGTTGCCGTTTGCTAGTATTTTACCCACAGTAGGACTTCTTTCAAAACTGGAGTCATTCTCAAATTTGCCGCAGCTTTATCCACCAAGTTTATGCAGTATTCTAAATCTTCTGTTGTCATTTCAACAGTGTTAAAAGCATCTTCACCAGAAAAATCTAGATTCCATCTCAAGAAGTCACTTTCTTTGCTCATCCATAGGAAGCAGCTCCCTTCCCTTTAATGCTTGATCATGAGACTGCAGCAGTTCAGTCCCATCGCCATCCTCCACTTCTAATTCTAGTTCTCTTGCAGTTTCTACCCCACTTGCAGTGACTTCCTCCAGTGAGTTCTTAAACCCCTCAAAGTCATCCATGAGGGTTGGAATCAACCTCTTCCAAAGTCCTGTTCATGTTTGTCTTTTGACCTCCTATGAATCATGAACGTTCTTAATGATATTCAGACTGGTGAATCCTTTCCAGAAGATTTTCAGTTTACTTTGCCCAGATCCATCAGAGGAATCTATATTTATGGCAGCTATAGCCTTTGGGAAAAAAAAAAGGTGGTGCGGGGGGGGGCCTCTTGCCCATGCTGGAGTGCAGTGGTCGTAGCTCACTGTAACCTTGACTCCCCGCCCCGGCTCAAGTGATCCTCCTGCCTCACTCTCCTGAGTAGACCACCACACTCAATTAATTTTCTTTTTTGTAGAGATGGTTTCTTGCTGTGTTGCCAGGGCTTGTCTCAAACTCCTGGACTCAAGTAATCCTCTCACCACAGCCTCCCAAAGTTGAAATTTGGCCCCATGCCTGGCCAAAATGTATTTCTTAAATAAGATTTAAAAGTTGAAATGACTCCTTGATCCATGGGCTGCAGAATGGATGCTGGGTTAGCAGACTGGAAACAACATTCATTTTTATTTACATTTTCATCAGAGCTCTTACGTGACTAGTGCATTGTCAATGAGCAGTAATATGTTGAATCCTTTTTCTGAGCAGTAGGTCTCAACAATGGGCTTAAAATATTCAGTAAGCCATGCTGTAAATTGATGTGCTATCTTTCCAGGTTTTGTTTTTACAGTTCTAGAACACAGACAGAGTAGATTTAACATAATTTTTAAGGGACCTGGGATTTTGGAATGTTAAATGAGCATTGGCTTCAACTGGAAGTCACCAGCTACATGACCCCTAACAAGAAAGTCAGCCTGTTTGAACCTTTGAGTGCAGATGCTGACTTCTCTCTAGCTGTGAAAGTCCTTGATGGCATCTTCTTCCAATAGAAGACTGTTTTGTCAAACTTAAATCATATTTAGTGTCGTTACCTTCATGAATTATCTTAACTACATCTTTTAGATAAGTTTCTGCACCTTCTGCATCAGCATTTGCTGCTTCACCTTGTTGCACTTTGATGTTACGGAGATGACTTCTTTCCTTCAACCTCATGAACCAACCTCTGCTAGCTTCCAGCTTTTCTTCTGTAGCTTCCTTAACTCCCTTCGCCTTCATAGGATTGAAGAGAGTTAGAACCTTGCTTTGCATTAGGGTTTGGCTTAAGGGAATGTTGTGACTGGTTTGATTTTTCCATACAGACCACTAAAACTTTCTCCTTTTCAGCAGTACAGTAAGGCTGTTTTGCTTTTTTTTTTTTTTTTTTTTTTTTGAGACAGAGTCTAGCTGGGTCGCCTAGGCTAGAGTACAAAGGTGTGATCTCAGTTCACTGCATACTCCGCCTCCCAAGTTCAAGTGATTCTGCCTGCCTCAGCCTCCCGTGTAACTGGGATTACAGGCGCCCGCCACCACTCCCAGCTAATTTTTGTATTTTCAGTAGAGATGGGGTTTCACCATGTTGGCCAGGCTGGTCTCCAACTCCTGACTTCAGGTGATCCGCCTGCCTTGGCCTCCCAAAGTGCTGGTATGAGCCACTGCACCCAGCCTGTTTTGCTTTGTTATTTGTGTGTTCACTGGAGTAGCACTTTTAATTTCCTTCAAGAACTTTTCCTTGCATTCACAGCTTGGCTTTTTGGTGCAAGAGGTCTAGCGTGTCTGTCTCAGTTTTCCAACATGCCTTTCTCACTAAGCTTAATCATTTTTAGCAATTGATTGATTTTGAGGATGTACAACACTTCTTTTCACTTGGATACTTAGAGGCCTACAGTGGTGGGGTTATTAATTGGCCTAATTTTAATACTGTCATGTCTCAGGGAATAAGGAGGCCTGAGTAGAGGGAGAAAGATGGGAAAACTCCCAGTAGGTGGAGCAGTCAGAGCATAAAGTTTGCAGTCTTGTGTGGGCATGGTTTGTGGTGCCCAGAAACAGAATAGTAACATCAGAGATAATGCTCACAGATATTGTAACAGATAAAATAATGAAAAAGAGAAACACCACAAGTATTACCAAAAGGTGACACAGAGACACGCGGTGAGCACTCGCTGATTGAAAAATGGAGCCAATAGAGGCGCTTGACACACGGCTCCCACAAACCTTCAATAACAGGAAGTATAATGAAACAGGGTGTGTCTCTATAGCTAATTGGAAGCATTTTGTCGAAGCAGAGAAACTAATTAATTGGAGTAAGTTCAGTGAGTTTTGCTTGATAATTCTTTGAAATAGGTATGGGAGGCCAGGTGCAGCGGCTCCCTCCTGTAATCCCAGCACTTTGGGAGGCCAAGGTGGGAGGATCACTTGAGTTCAGGAGTTTGAGACCAGCCTGGGCAACAAAGTGAGACCCTGTCTCTATTTAAAAAAAAGAAAAAATAGAAAAGAAAAGAAAGAAAGAGGTGTTAGATGTTTAGTCTGATCATAACTGCAAACTGTGGTGAGTCATTTTGTTGTTGGTGGTTGGTTGGTTGTTTTGAGACAGGGTCGCTCTGTGACTTAGGCTGGAGTTTGGTGGCCCAGTCTCAGCTCACTGCAACCTCTGCCTCCTGGGCTCAAGCGAGCCTCCCACCTCAACCTCCCAGGTAGCTGGGACCACAGGTGTGTGCCACCACACCCAGCTAATTTTTTAAAATTCTTTTTTGTAGAGAAGGGTTCTCACTTTGTAAACCAGGCTGGTCTTGAATTCCTGAGCTCAAGTCATCCTCCTGCCCTAGCCTGCCAAAGTGTGGGGATTACAGGTGGGAGCACCCGGTTGTGAATCTTATCTCTGATTAGTTTATTTTCTTCCCAGATTAACTTAGGTAAGCCACATAAGGTATGTTCCAGTGAAGATTTTTCTGTTTCATGCCTGCATGGAATAGAAACCCAACTGAAATGATTACTTCTGGAAAAGGACGACGGGTTATTTGAAGGGAATAGTGGTGTAGGTCCTAGCAGCTGGAACTGCAAAGTGTTTAAGAACCATATCTGTTTTCCTCTATGGTTCTCTTCTGGGGCCTGTAGGTTTTCTCTTGGGGTTCCCTGCTTCACACCATTCTCTGCATACTGGTGGCTTTTCTTTATTCCTCAGCTCCCACATTGTTCATCATGGTGATGCTGCGGGCGTTGTCATCTAACACAGCTGATGAGCTTTCGGTGGTTTTTGTTTTGTGTTTCCTTTTCTTGGAGACAAGATCTGGCTCTGCCCAAGATTACTCCCAAGATCTCCCCAAGATTACAAGATCTCCCCAAGATTACTCTGTGGGGCGTAATCTCGGCTCCCTGCATCCTCCGCCTCCCAGGTTCAAGCAATTCTGCCTCAGCCTCCCAAGTAGTTGGGATTACAGGCACCTACCACCACACCAGGCTAATTTTTTTGTATTTTTAGTACAGACGAGGTTTCACCATGTTGGCCAGACTCGTCTCGAACTCCTGACCTCAGGTGATTCGCCCACCTTGGCGTCTCAAAGTGCTGGGATCACAGGCGTGAGCCACCGTGCCTGGCCAATATTTTTTGATGAGATGGGGTTTTGTCGTGTTGCCCAAGCTGGTCTCCAACTCCTGTGCTCAAGCTGTCTACCTTCCTTGGCCTTCCGAAGTGCAGGGATCACAGGCGTGAGCAATCATGCCCTGACACCCTGTGTTTTTAACTACTGGAAACAGAATCTTGAGTGTGACTATCTTAGCTTAGCTGTGAATGAATTCCTTGGGTCAGGCATTCCTGGCCGTTTGCTTTGGCTGGAGATTAATTAGGCTGATTCTTGAAGACTGTGTTACTAAAATGCAAGCTGTGTAGAAGTTTGATGGGAAGCAGAGAGGGAGGTGTTGAGGAAAACTGCAAAAGATGGGAAGGGCCCAGTTTCTGAGAAGGCAAGGAGAGATTCAGTGCACAGGTGGCAAGACTGGGTGTAGTGGAATGAAGGACCGGGTGTAGTGGAATGGAGGACCGGGTGTAGGTAGAATGAAGGACCGGGTGTGGTGGAATGAAGGACCGGGTGTAGAGTAGAATGAGACCGGGTGTGGTGGAATGAAGGACCGGGTGTGGTGGAATGAAGGACCGGGTGTAGGTGGAATGAGGGACCGGGTGTGGTGGAATGAAGGACCGGGTGGTGGAATGAAAAGGACGAATTGTGGTGGAATGAAGGACCGGGTGTAGGTGGAATGAAGGACCGGGGTGTAGGTGGAATGAAGGACCGGGTGTGGTGGAATGAAGGACCGGGTGTGGTGGAATGAAGGACCGGGTGTGGTGGAATGAAGGACCGGGTGTAGGTAGAATGAAGGACCGGGTGTGGTGGAATGAAGGACCGGGTGTGGTGGAATGAAGGACCTTGGGTGTAGAGTGGAATGAAGGACCGGGTGTGGTGGAATGAAGGACCGGGTGTGGTGGAATGAAGGACCGGGTGTGGTGGAATGAAGGACCGGGTGTAGGTGGAATGAAGGACCGGGTGTAGGTGGAATGAAGGACAGATTATTAGGTGGAATGAAGGACCGGGTGTAGGTGGATGGGGGACCGGGTGTGGTGGAATGAAGGACCGGGTGTGGTGGAATGAAGGACCGGGTGTGGTGGAATGAAGGACCGGGTGTAGGTGGAATGGGGGACCGGGTGTAGGTGGAGACCTGGGGGAGGACCGGGTGTAGGTGGAATGGGGGACCGGTGTAGGTGGAATGGGGGACCGGGTGTAGGTGGAATGGGGACCGGGTGGAGTGGAATGGGGACCGGGTGTAGGTGGAATGGGGGACCGGGTGTGGAGTGGAATGGGGGACCGGGTGTGGGTGGAAAAGGAGGCCGGGTGTGGGTGGAAAGGAGGACGAGGTGTGGGTGGAATGGAGGGCCGGGTGTGGTGGAATGGAGGACCGGGTGTGGAGTGGAAAAGAGAGGACCGGGTGTAGGTGGAATGGAGACCGGGTGTGGGTGGAATGGAGGACCGCGTGTGGGAGGAATGGAGGACCGGGTGGGTGGAATGGAGGACCGGGTGTGGGTGGAATGGAGGCCCGGGTGTGGGTGGAAAGGAGGCCCGGGTGTGGGTGGAAAGGAGGACCGGGTGTGGGTGGAAAAGGAGGACCGGTGTGGGTGGAATGGAGGACCGGGTGTGGGTGGAATGGAGGACCGGGTGTGGTGGAGATGGAGGCCGGAGTGTGGAAGTGGAATGGAGGACCGGGTGTAGGTGGAATGGAGGACCGGGTGTAGGTGGAATGGAGGACCGGGTGTAGTGGAATGGAGGACCGGGTGTAGTGGAATGGAGGACCGGGTGTGGTGGAATGAAGGACTTGCCTTCCTTGATAAAAGGAAGAAAGGAAAACGGATAGAATGTTTAAAAATGAGAACAATAATTTTATAAATAGTGACTGGATGTATTTATTGGGGAGACAAATAATAACTGTGTATTTCAGTCTCCTTAATGGCTAATAAATATTGGGTACAGATTTCTCTCCCCATCAAGGAGTTTCTTCTAGTGGCCCTTCCATAAGGGCAAGCTTTGGTTATCTGAGAGAACTTACACTTAATAGCTGATCTAATATGATGAAAAAGAGAATATTTTATATTTCATTCACTAATATGCTCTTTCCTTTTATTTCCATCTAATGGCTTTGTCTTTCTCTTGTTTGTATAGGCTTTGGTGAAGCACGTCCAGTCTAAAGGATATCCGATGAGCGTTTTGAACTTCTCACCAACTTTCCTCGAAGGAAATTATCTCATCTGGACTATGATATTACATTGCAAGAGGCAGGCCTTTGTCCTCAAGAGACTGTCTTTGTACAGGAAAGAAATTAACACCATGGCTTGACCTCTCTCAGCTTACCCCTTTTTTCCCTTTTCCTGTGAGATACCATGTCACTAAGTATGCATTTTGGCTCATAGGACCACAGAGCCAAAGTTGGGCAAGCAAGTCACCTTCCTTCTCTGATTTCTTGATCTCTCCTGTGATCAGTCTCTTTCTCCCCCTTTGTTTTTCTCTTCTGTTTTCTCCCTCCCCACTCCGTACTCTTCCCCCTCCCCTACACTTTCTTACCTAATCTGGTGACCAAATTGAAGTGTAAGAATAAGACCTCTCTATTAGCAGCAGGAATTGTGTCCCAGTAAGTAGTCTTCTGCACGGCACTTTTTGGGATCAAATGTTAACGTTACTCCCCAGACTCTTTGGGCAAAGGAATGGCTAGATTCAGAGTAAGAACAACCCTCCCTTTTTGTAAGCCCCATGTGTAGCAGGGGAGAAGAAATTATCTAACGTGGATTTGGTTTGTTGTGTTCTTCATGTAGGAAATATCACTTAAGAAAATATCCAGGCTTTTGTTTCCGTGGAAAAAGCATCCCTTAGCAATTATTGCTCATCATACCTAAAAACTTTTTCAAAGGATTTTCATGTTCCCAATAGAACTATTTCCATGACATGTGTTACTAGCAGAATGAGTGTTAAATATGGAGCATATAGCATGGGGTGACTTTCATTGTCTAAGCTGAGACAGTTTTCTTTATTACTCTGTATTGGTCCTGCTAGTCCAGGAATGGACATTAAGTGACCCTATCGTGGTGACTGGGATAGGAAGATGCTTGCTGTTTTTGCCAGCACAGCAGATTAGCTCCTTTGGAGCCCTCCATTATCCAGTCTGAGTGATCTGTAGGGAAGGCAGCTGGTCAATAATCATGCAGTGCAATGGCTTGTAATTGTAACCACTGTGGTTATTGATTGTCCTGTGGTGTTTCAGGCATACTTAGGTATGTCCCTGGGGAAAAAAAAAAACCATTCAGCTGAGAGTTGCTAACCATGTTCTTCTGGTTAGAAATAATGGTTCATTTTTGCCCTGGTTGGAATAGTCTCTGAAAGGCTGTGGTGACTGAATTGAACATGAGTCCGCATGCTGTTTTCTTTCAAAAGGTATCAGAACTGAAAGCCTCTCTAAGGGGAAGACTTTTAAACTCAATTCAAAAGACAACATTTAGTAAAGTGGGGAGTGGCGGAGGGTGCTAGTCATTTTCAGATGTTGTAAGGTTTCTGCCAACAAAGGCAAAAAATCAAATTTGAGTTAGTGAAAGCTTTCTTCGGTGTTTTAGAAGAGGCCATCTTGAATCTGTAGAATACCATTTACACACCAACTTCACCCTATGCTCAGTTCATATTTTGAGCTTAAATGGAATCCTCTGAAGGGGTAGTCGTGATTCTAGAAGTTTGCTTGTAAAATGAAAATATTAAATGGACCTTTTTGTCAATTGAGGATTTAGATTGATTCTTTTATCCGAGGCGTAAGTTCACTCGGCGTTTATAGAGACCTTTAGGTTTTCATCTACTTTAAGATTGTCTCTTGGCAATGAGGGGATTGGGGAAAAGAAGAAAAAAGATGCTGTGTGTTGCTAGTACACAGTTACAGACTATGGTTTCTAATGGTTGAATTTTGAGGAACCTCCCAAAAGAATGAGTTCTGTATCTCCTCAGAAATCTTGGACAATTCTGTTTATTCTTCAGTGATCCTTTTGAATTAATGTTCTTACATTTTTCTAAGTCTGTGTAAGTGCTTGTATGTATAAGTATATAATTGTATAAATATTTATAAATATATTTATATAATTACAGTTTCATTCTACCTTGGAGTCAAAGTTCTCTCTTTAGATTGGTGACTATACTTACACTTTGGTGTTTTCATGGAAACTCTTGAGGCTTAACTAAGCAGCTTCATGATTTATTGAGTGAAAGATGGGGTTTTCATGTTCATTCCTCAGTTGTATCTCTGAACTTGGATAACATACTTGCCGTTTGAAGAATAGAGCTGTATATTATCAAAGGTGCACTGGAGGGTAAAACATTTGTTGGTAGCAGACAAGGTCAGAAATCTAAAAATTCAGGGAGGCACAGGGTAAGAAGAGGAGGTTTGCTCAGCTTTGCGCTCTGATGGTGCCCATCTGTACTCCAGCAAAGTCATAGCTGAAGCCCAGCTCGCTCAAACATGTCAAGTCAGCCGTTTTTCCTGTCGGGCTCTGTTTCATTCTCTTTACCTTCTAGCTTCTCGATAGAACAGCTGGGAGAACTGACATGTTCATCAGTGAGAGGCTGTAGCTCTTTCTGACATGTTCAGCACATGCATATTCATTGATGAGAAACCAAAGTGACTTTCTCAGTTTGGGTTACCGAGATGATTGAGTAAGAGAGAAACTGATTTAACAGACAGCATGAGTACTTTCACCCAGCAACATGCAGCTGGGTCGTCTACAATACAAGATGTGGTGGGCTTTATTTTATTTTATTTAGAGGCAGGAGTGTAATTATCTCAGGGTTGATACAGAGGCCCATGGGAGTGAATTCTGACTTGTGCATGAAAGAGAAGTCCATAAAGTATTGCAGCATAGAAGTTCAATCCACTGACAAGTAGCGTCTTCCAGTTTCACCTTATTTCCTCTGCAAGTTTCTTTGCTCTTTTTAGACAGAGGTTTTATTGAATAGATTAAATGAGGTCAGTAAGGTTAGTTAAAAATAGTCATTCTTTGTGGGTGTTGGACACAGCTGAAAGAGAGTGTTAAAAAAAAAAAAAAAACTAGAGAGGAAAAAAGAACAAAGAAGATAGACTTGAGAGTGATAAGAGAAAATACAGGGAGATGAAATGGAAACTACTGGGAAGGCCAGGCCATGGTGGCTCACGCCTGTAATCCCAGCACTTTGGGAGGCCGAGGTGGGCAGATCACCTGAGGTCAGGAGATCCAGACTAGCCTGACCAACATGGAGAAACCCCATCTCTACTAAAAATACAAAATTACCCGGGTGTGATGTGAGCACCTGTAATCCCAGCTACTCAGAGAAGCTGAGGCAGGAGAATGGCTTGAACCTGGAAGGCAGAGGTTGCAGTGAGCCAAGATTGTGCCAATGCACTCCAGCCTGGGCAACAGAGTGACACTCCATCTCAAATTTAAAGAAGAAGAAGAAGAAAGAAAGAAAACTGAGTGGGAAAAAAGTAGAGGAATACTTTTTGGAATTTGATATCGGAAGGAACTGGAGAAGAGAAAGAACAGTGCCAAATGAGAAAAGAACAGGGAAACTTAATGCTGAGTATTAACTGGCATGCACTAGGTACTTTTATGTACATTTTCTCAGTCTCCCTAAGAATTGTACGAAATATATATTTTCTTCCCATGTTAAGAAAACAGGTATAGAGAACTTATTCAGGATGTCACAGCTAGTGAGTGGCAAATCAGAATTGGAATCAGAGTCCATCTTTGTTTCAATGTCACGCTGTGTTCTCCGACAACAAGAGAATCAAGCCACCCAAATGGTTATCTTCTCATTGTTGGGCTTTGTAAATTCTCATTTAGTTTTGTTGCCATAAATATAGAGGAAGTAGTTGGGTTAAAGTTGTGGGATTTGCACTATGCCTATAAATGTTTATTTATGCCATTATTTTGAGAGGCTGATTATTGCTTTTTTAAAATGATGCACTGGGGGAAGATGTGAAAGAAAAATTGCTATGTGGCATTATTTGCCAGAATAAATGAAAGGGTAAAAAAGAATTTTTTTCTTTTTTTAAACATTTTCTCCAGAAAAGACACAATTATCTTTTTTTTTTTTTTTTTAAATATAGGTGAAACTTTTACGCCTGGCTAATTTTTGTATTTTTAGTAGAGACAGGGTTTCACCATGTTGGCCAGGATGGTCTTGATCTCTTGTGATCCGCCCACCTCAGCCTCCCAAAGTGCTGGGATTACAGGCGTGAGCCACCATGCCACCCAAAGTGCTGGGATTACAGGCGTGAGCCACCATGCCCGGCCTACAATTCTGTTTTCTGTGTCCCATCCATACCAGATTATTGAACCCTCGGTGTGTATGTTTTTAAATCTTGTATATAATTCTTCCTTGACTTAGACATCATCAACTAGCTATTGAGTTCTTTATAGAAGTTGGAAATATTTTGAAATCTGAGATCTAATTCCTGGCCAGGTGTGGTGGCTCACGCCTGTAATCCGAACATTTTGGGAGGCCAAGGTGGGGGAATCACCTGAGTTTGGGAGTTCGAGATCAGCCTGGCCAACATGGTGAAACCTTGTCTCTACTAAAAAATATAAAAATTAGCCAGGCATGGTGGCTCATGTCTGTAATCCCAGCTGCTGGGGAGGCTGAGGCACGAGAGTCTCTTGAACCCGGGAGGCGGAGGTTGCAGTAAGCTGAGATCACACCCCTGCACTCCAGCCTGGGTGAGGGAGCGAGACTCTGTCTCAAAAAATAATAAATGAGATCTGATTCCTGCCTGTTTTATCCAGTTAGGGAGACACACTACACATGAAATAACTGGAGAGCATGTAAGTGTTTACCTATTAGTTCAAGCTTAGGGAAAGGGAAGAGTATGTTTTAGTCAGCAAAGTCTTAAGCAAGACTGAAAAGTGGCAAGCACTGTAGCTCAGATTTTCTTTTGACTCACCTATTTCTTTAGCTCCACCTTTCGTAACTTTAGATTTAGGGCATGAAATTCTGCCAGTAAGGCATAACCAGTACCCAAGTAAGAAAGGATTACTGATCCCCCGGAGTAAACGTTTCTAGCTAGCAGGGATCTCACTTGTACACTTCGGAAAAATACCAGAGGGAGCCACTAGCAACTGAAAAATGAGGAAGATTTAATTTCTCTACAGGTACAAATCAGATGGACAGCATAGTACATATTATATGCAGAAAGGGCACTAGGGGTGTAAGTGTACTTGGGTAACAGCTCTGCTAGTTGTTACTTCACACTTCTCTTTCTTCTTAATCTCGGGTTTCTTATCTGAAAAATGAGAGAATTGGACTAGATTAATAGTGCTCAGCCTTTTCTAGACCAGCAAATCAGATTATCTCTGAAGTCCTTTTTCCACTCCAAAATTTTACACTTCCAGTCTCTCCCCTTTATTGCATACTATCTCTAGGCTAATTAAAAGTGTGCTGGTTAATCATTTTCTTTTCTTTTTTTTTTTTTTTCTGTGTTCAGGTATCATTTGACCAGTAACTTGCTCCTAATCTTACTGTGATGACTGAAACCTCCAAAGAGGAGAGTATAATAGTTATAGGTCTAGTAATAATCTTTTGAACAATTCATTATTTTTAAAAACTTAATGCCGTGTGCCTAATCAGTATTGAGTATGACTAAAATGTAAATGAGAACCAAATATATCACTAACACTGGCACTAAATTTTATTTTTACTTGTGTACTTAAAGTACTTTACTGGCCTGTTGGCCTGTTGTATAAGTTGTAAGATTCACTCCTGGTTTTGGCAGAAGCAACTTTTTAAAGATACAATTAGGCCGACTTTTAAAAATGTTTTTTATCCTGTAGAATGTATCTTTATTATGTGATTCTTACCCCCTCTCTGCCTTTTTTGACCATCATTTAACTACTCAGTAGTAAATCATGGGGTGCAGGCTGATGAATTAGTAGTCTTGTGTAAACCTAAAACGTAATGAGCATAGGAAGAACCAGCTCTTCCGGTGAACATGGCAGTTTTCCGGTACTACCAGCCTTGATGAATAGGCTGAAGACAGCTGTGTACTATGGACATTTGACCTCACTGGATTGCCTTGCTTAGCATTTCAGTTATTGTCTTGCCATGAAACGTGGTGTTGCATAGTACACATTTTAGAATAGTGGCAAGAATGTTCTTTAGAACTGCAAATAACCCAACAGAGTGTACCATGCCAGTATATCGGTTTCTCCTGTTATATAGAGATTTGGTATTTCAGTGATGGTTATTTTGGTTTTTGACTCACCTGTGTGTCCTGCTACAGAGACAGTATAGAATCAAGAATTTCTTGACGTCTTTTTAAAAATAGAGATTATAATGTCCTTGGTGGTTTTCCTGTGAAGTGAACTTACATGGCTGGATTATTGAATGTGACAGTGAGACTCTTCATTAGAAAGTCTTGTAATCCTGCTTTCTAGTTTCCTTCTCCACCATTCACTTTTAACGTTCATTCTCTGAAAATAGTTATGATTTTTAATGTAATTGGCTATGTTTAAGAAATTCCATGTCAAAGTCTTAATATGTAACAATCTTCATTTTTTATAAAATTGAAGGAAATTTTTGAGGCAAACTTACTTTTATAGCTCATTTTTTCTCTAGCTCATTTTTTATAGCTCATTTTTTCTTTCATTTTTCTCCTTAGAATTCTCTTAAGGAGAATTCTCTGGTTTCAAATAGAGAATGGCTAGCTCTGTGATGCCCCACTCTCTTTGTGGCCTACCAGTTACTGTTTTGTTGCTTAAAATTGCAGATATTCTCATAAATGTGATGATTTTTGGCACAGGCCTTTCTTTGGCATATTGATTTCAAAATAGAGTTGGGTAATCCAATTTGAACTACTTTAGTAAACATAATTTAGCATTTCTGTAATGAGAAAGTATTTTCAAAAGATAACCAGATTTACTTCTAGGATTAGAGATGGCAAATACCAGTGATAGTATTTTTCCCAAGAACCATCACATGTTAATCTATAAATATGAGAAGTTGTAGATATTGTCGTACTTAATTCTTTGGCAACAAACAGCAAGTTTTTATTGTTTGTTTAATTGTATTTCCTCTAGAGATCACAATACTCTGGGTATTTTATATCCCTTCTAAAGGTCATTTGGGTTTTCAAATGGGAAGAATAGTCAAGCTAAGCTGGACTAAACCCAAGTAATATTTTATCTCATCAAAAGAAGTTATTAATCCAACTGGGTTAGCATGAGTCATTCATTTTTTAGACATGGTAAATGGGAAACATTTCAAATCATTAGATAAATTCTGACCTGGAATCGAATTCTCCCTTTCTTAAAATCTTTTTAATTTGCTTTTTTCATAGGCTCAGTATGGAACTCTTAACTGATAAGGGAGAGATTCTTGATCTGGAACCATTCCCTGCCATTCTGCTTTTTTCTCTCTATCAATCAGGGTAGCTGGCTCCATAGTGCCTGTTACTAGGGTCCATTTCAGGTTGATGACATTAGACCATTTACACTCAGTTGGATACTTCCCTGTTTTCAGCAACATGATTTTACAGGATGCTTTTCTCAAAGCTTTGCATTCTTAATGGAAATATCAAATGGTGTAATTCCAAATATAAATATGTTTATGACACTAATCATATGCTTTTAATGATAACTTTTTGATAACTTACTGCCCTGTAAGGTTAAACCTTACACGGAGTGACTGTTGCCATCAGAAAATCCCTTTTTACCTGCTAATGAGAGTGAAAGTAGTATGTGACCTCCACTTTCAGTGACTGAGTAGCATGCTTCTCGGAGGGGCTGCTTCTCTTACCCGTCTGGGGTCTTGGGCCTTGTTACTTTCCTGGGTTTGTCCCTTCAGCTGGAAAGGCTGTTGAAAACACTTGCCAGGAAACAGTAAAGCTGTGAGAGAATCTTCTAGTCTTAGATAGAGAGAAATGAGTACCAGTTGATGCTAACGTGATACTTAGACTTTGAGGGGCTTCCATCCAAGCTTTGGCATGAATCTGTTAGACACAGTTTTCTTCATTTCTCTGATAATCTTTTTTTCCAGAATGGCTTTTTGTTGTTGTTGTTATTAACAAATTGTAAACATTGGTGTTTTTTT